AAAACATCATTGTGAGCAATCTGAATGGCACTCTGATTGTCACAATAAAGAGAGGTAGCGCCAGAAGAGGAAACACCCATATCAGTGAGGAGCCAGCGAAGCCAGAGAAGTTCCTGAGTAGTATCAGCAAGAGCTCGGTATTCAGCTTCGGTGCTAGAACGGGCAGTGAGGGATTGTTTCTTGCTACGCCAAGTAAGAAGAGAATCCCCTAAGAAGAAACAGAATCCCGTGGTAGAGCGTCGATCTGTAGGATCCCCAGCCCAATCAGCATCAGAAAAGGCACGCAGTTCAAGAGAGGAGGAAGCAGAGTAGTGAAGGCCATGGAACATAGTGCCTTTGAGGTATCGAATGATGTGGAGTAGAGCAGTATAGTGCAGAGTGCGAGGAGCCGACATGTACTGACTAACAATGTGAACAACATAGGCAATGTCAGGACGAGTCACTGTGAGATAGACAAGACTACCGACGAGCTGGCGATAAAGAGTAGCATCATTGAGGAGAGCCCCATCAAGAGGAGTAAGACGAATCTGAGGATCAACTGGGGTAGATATAGTTTTGCAATCAGTAAGACCAGCACGAGCCAGAAGATCGGATGCATATTTGGCCTGAGATAAATAAGAACCAGTAGAATCATGAGAGACTTCAAGGCTTAAAAAGTAGTTAAGAGTACCAAGGTCTTTCATCTCAAACTGACGGTGGAGAAAACGTTTGAGGTGGAGAATATCAGCTACATCATTACCAGTGATAATCATATCATCCACATACAGAAGGAGAAGAGTGGTACCATGAGGAGTAGTCCATATAAAAAGAGCAGAGTCACAGGAGCTAGAGGTGAACCCGAAGTCATGAATGGTAGAACTGAACTTAGCAAACCAAGCGCGGGGTGCTTGCTTGAGGCCATAGAGGGCACACTGTAGTTTGCAAACCTTATGAGGGGGAAAAATAGACCCAGGTGGAGGTTGCATGTAGACCTCCTCAAGAAGATTACCATTGAGGAAGGCATTTTTGACATCCATTTGAAAGAGCTCCCAGTGGCGAGCAACAGCAACAGCTAGTAAACTGCGAACAGAGGTAAGCCGAGCAACAGGGGAGAAGGTTTCCTCATAATCAATCCCATATTCCTGGTTAAAACCCTTGGCAACAAGACGAGCTTTGTAACGTTCAATAGAGCCATCAGAATGAGTCTTGATTTTGTAAACCCATTTGCAGCCAATCGCAGTTTTGCCAGGAGGAAGATCAACAAGATCCCAAGTATGAGTTTTGTCCAAGGCTTGAAGTTCATCAGTCATAGCTTGCTGCCAAAGAGGATTAGTACAAGCCTCACGATAGGAGGTAGGTTCATAAGTAAAAAAGGCAGCAGACCCAACAATATAATCACGAAGGTGGATAGGAGGTTGAGTTACCCGGTGTGGTCGACCCGTAGGAGGATCGGTGGGAGGAAGAACCGGTGGAGAAGAAGGTGGTGCAGGGAGAGGTGGACCTTCAGGGAGAGCAGGCTGGGCAGGAGCAGGAGTGAGCAAGGGCATCTCAATGAAGGAGGAACCTGTATCAGAATCATCAGAGAAGAGATCTATGGAAGGATTAGTAAACAGTACATTAGTGGAAAGTGCAGGTAAGTGAAAGGAGGATAGGGAGGAAAACATTTGGTGCTCCCAAAAAACAACATGTCGAGAGATACGAAGACGTTTAGAGATAGGGTCCCAACAGCGAAAACCTTTATGTTCAATTCCATACCCAAGAAAGCAACAAAGACGAGAACGAGGTTCAAGCTTGGTGTGTTCATGAGATTGAAGGAGAACAAAGCAGGCAGAGCCAAAAACCCGAAGATTAGTATAGAGAGGGGGAGTGCCATGCAGACGTTCAAAGGGAGTTTGATTATGGATGACAGGGGTAGGAGCACAATTGATAGTGTAGACAGCAGTGAGGGCAGCTTCCCCCCAAAAGCTTTTAGGGCAGGAAGAAGAGAGAAGGAGAGCGCGAGTAGTGTCAAGAATATGCCTATGTTTCCGTTCAGCACGGCCATTTTGCTGGGACGTGCCAGCACAGGAACGATGAGGCAGTGTACCATGACTCTGAAGAAAAGAAAGGAAATCTGAATCCCGATATTCCATAGCATTGTCAGAGCGAAAATTTTTGATGGATTTGGAAAATTGGGTGTGGATCATTTGGGCAAATCGATAATAAAGGGTTTTGAGTTCAGACCGAGTTTTCATGAGAAAAATCCAAGTAAACCGGGAAAAATCATCAATAAAAACAACAAAATAACGAGATCCCCCTATAGTAGTAGTAGGGAAGGGGCCCCAAATATCCGAATGTATAAGATCAAAAGGTGCACAGGAAACAGAAGTACTTTTATTGAATGATAAAACAGGTTGTTTGGCAAGTTGACAGGGTATACAATCGAAAGTATCTGGAATTACAGGAACCAATTGTCCACTAGAAACCAAAGACTTTAAGCGATTAATAGAAATATGCCCTAAGTGACAATGCCAAAGATGAAAAGGAGATAAGGAGGAAGCAGATGCAAGAGCAGCGATTTGAGGGGAGTCGGGAACATGAAGGTAAATGAGCTCATAGAGACGTCTGTGCTTACGGCCGATCCCAATAGTCTGCCTCGTCTGAGGGTTCTGCACCAAACAATGAGTAGCACAAAAGGTGACAGTTAGACCAAGTTCACATAATTGACCAATAGAGATAAGGTTTAAGGTGAGAGCAGGGATATGATAAACTTGAGGTAAAGATAAAGAAGATGTGGAAACAGTACCAATATGACGGACAGTCATGAGAGAACCATCAGCAGTTTGAATTGAGGGAATATGAGGAGATGAAGAGATGGAAGAAAATATAGTTGAACTAGAGGTCATATGATTACAACAGGCAGAGTCAAAATACCAAGAAGAGTTACCTGGAATTACAGACAAAGCAGTAGGAGGAGGTGTACCAGAAGGGGAGAGAAGGTGTTTGAACATGGCCTCAACATCTGTGGGAGAAAAGAGAGGGGTTGACGGAGCAGGAGACTCAGAAAAACCCTTAGCGGCAGCAGCAGCAGTGTGATGAGACTGATTCCCGGAATGAGACTGATTCCTGGAACGATGAAAGTTCCCCTGAGAAGAACCACCGTGAGAAGAGTGGCTGTTGGAGGATGAACGGGATGGATTGCGAAAACAATCCTATTGCAGATGACCAGGACTAAGTTTGTTGCAGTATCGACAGGTTCTGACGGGACAATTGACCAGGAGATGTGTTGAAGGAAGGCCCCGATTCTGACAGTAGAGGCAGGCAGTGGTCCGCTGGGTGAATGATGGCCGGTACGGAGGAGTGGCGAGAACAGAATCTACATGATGAGTTTGGAGAGTACCAAGACGAGTTTCCTCTGATAACAACTCAGAAATAGCTTGTTCTAGAGTGGGCAAGGGATGGCGATGAAGAAGAGATGCACGTACGGGCTCAAAGGATAAAGTGAGAGCCATGAGAAAGTGCACCAACCTTTGCTGATTTCGATAGGCAGTAAATAAAACAGCATCTTCTCGGTGAGGCCAAGTCGGTTCGGAAAGAGCAAGCTGGTCCCAAACGGAGTACATTTGAGAAAGGAAGTCATTGGTGGACTGACTAGATTCTTGGCGCATCCGATGAAGTTGACTCTGAAGTTGATATTGATAAGCAAGACCAGTAGTCTGGTATCGTTCTTTCAAAAAATCCCAGATGTCTTTTGCAGGAGTAGTGACAGAGTCAAGATGAAAGCGACCAAACTGAAGACTGATAGAGATAACAGAAGTATTTCGAAACCAGGTAATGATTTGGTAATTCTTACTATCCCATTCCTCAAGGCGATCTTCATATGTAGGAGTAGCAGGAGAAACAGTGGTTTCAGCAGTGTCTTTCACCGGTTGGGTCATGTCCCCGGTGATAATTCGCCAGAGCTTCTTTCCTTTGAGGAAGGAAGACATGGCTTGGGCCCATAGAACATAGTTAGAACCATTCAAAATAACGGAAATGGGATGGGAGGCATCAGGACGATCCATAATAATAGTTGAGTAAGGCTAAATTGATAGGAATAGACCTGTAGGAGCAAAATTAGGTAAAACAGAGTGTACCAGTGAGTCCGGAAGGTCGAAAATAGCTAGGAAAGGTGGGCTGTGTAGAGATGATGTCAGCAGGATGGAAAATGATGTCAGCGGCGCACGTTAGCAGAGAGGGCGTGCGGCGCATGGTAGCAGAGAGGGCGTGCGGCGTATAGTAGCAGAATGGCGCACACGGGTGCACAATAGCGGAACGGCGCACGCGCGGCTCACGGTGGACGAATGGCGCACGCGGGTGCACGGTAACAGGCGCGGCGCACGAAAGGGCAGAGTGGAAGGCGCGTGAAGGCGCGTGTGAGCATGGCAACGGAAGCAGAGACGCGCCAAGCAAAAGGGCGGCGCGTGAGAGTGTTTCTGGTGACGAGCTTGGTGTCGTTGGAATCGTAAGGAGATTCCGAGCTGTTTGGTGTAGTTCCACTGTGTAGGGGACTAAGTACCAAAAATTGAAGAATGCCAGAATTGTATTACTGTGCTCTGATACCATGAAAGATTGGTAAAGAGAGAGAGAGAAAAGAGAGAGACTGAAATGAGAGATTGATATATACAATGTCTGTTATTGTATTTGTGTGTTTACAAAAGAATGAGCTCTCTCTCTTTATAGAGAGGAGAAGGAGACAATGCAGCACTGAAAGCATATAAAAGTGAAAGTGTGTGGTAGTGAGTGTTTGCCCTTTACAGCTACTGCACTATAGTGTGTATATTATATGTTAACAATTCAAATGTTAATCCAATCCAAAGTGAGATATGGACCTTAGCCGAGTGAAAGCAGTATTGAGTGTTGCAAAACATTAGTCAGAAAAATACAATAAAATTAAGGTTATTTTTGGTTCATAGGTTTGGTGAGAGAATTGGGAAGAGAAAATAAAAGAAATAAAATATAATTATATTTTACACCCAATACTGTTAAAGAAAATAAGACACCTGAGCTTCTGGGCTTTCCTCCATGTATTCATACATATCAGCATGCGAAATTTGAAAACATTGTCCACTTTCATGGGTGAAGGAAGTCAGTGGACGCGAACCATCTTCTGATCCAGCTTTAGCTTTCACATGGCTGTATGAAATGGGACATATATGAGCAATCCAATCAAATCAATTATTGTAAAACAAAACTAAACCACACTTCAACATAAACATTTCTTGTGAGTAATGTTAGGAATTATGAAAAAAAATATCATAAAGATGATCATGAAAAATTCTCCATCTTTAAATTACAAATACAATAAAACACTACACTAATCAATTGATGAAAAAAATTTCATGAAACATTTCATGATATTTTTTTCATGATCCTTAATATTAGTTGTGTTTGGAGAATAGAGCATATGATTGGATTATGTATCTTGGCTAATTTCAAATTTCATGTTTAGATACAAAGGACAATTTTTTATTTTCCATTCGGCGACTAAATAGTTTTAATAGCCAAAACTCAATATACGGCGACTAAAATATTTTTAGTCGCTAAAAATAACTTTTTTGGCGGCCAAAATTTTGGTCGCCAAAAGAGAAAAAATATTTTTTTATTTTCCATTCAGCGACTACATTGTTTTAGTTAGGGATGACAATGGATAACCTACCCTGTGAGTATCCATGGAGACCCAATCCAAAAACATGAGTTTTTCCCTTTTTTTCTTATCCATTAGGTAGGGTAAGTGATATTTTCAACAGGGGATGGGTTGGGGATGGATACCCACTAATTTCCCCATATGTCTTTTTTTTTTTTTTTTTTAAGGATTCACAACCAAAACTAAATATACATTCAATCTTTTTTCTTTTATTTATTTATTTATTTATTCAGGTTCACAACCAACTTTTTTTTTTTAGATCCACAACCAAAGCTAAATATACATCCAATCTTTTTTATTATTATTATTTTTTAATTTTTAAGGTTCACAACCATTTTTTTTTAAAAAATTTTAAGATTCACAACCAAAGCTAAATATACATTCAATATTTTTTCTTTTGTTTTTTTTTTTTTTTGATTTTTAAGGTTCACAACAAAAGCTAAATATCATTCAATCTTTTTTCTTTTATTTTTTTTTAATTTTTAAGATTCACAACAAAAGCTAAATATACATTCAATCTTTTTTCTTTTAGAGGTTTTGCCTATTTGACTATGTTAGTAAACTAGTTTAGTTTTTGCATTTAAGAAGATGGGTTGGATTTTTTGTTAGATTGATGTATTGAAAAATGTGTTTGAAATAATGTAGAGATAATAAATGACCAAAATGTCCCTATGTGTATTATCGTTGTTGTTGTGAGTTTCTCAAAAATTAAAAAGGCAAAAGCGTCATTTTACCATTTGTCCGTTACAGCTGTGTATCATGTGGGAAGTCAGCAACAATACTTTTTGAATTTTTTTCCTGAAGAGGCTAAAGTGATCTATAAATTTCATTTCCAAACACTGCCATAATTAAATGCATAAATCACTTTTATCTTCATCATTTTGTAATTATTTTTTACTTTTGATTTTTTTGATATTCTCCACAAAAAAAAAAAGAAAGAAAAAAGTGAGGTCTTAAAATTGTTTCAGTCAATTTTTTTTCTTTTATCAATAATTCAGTTTTTAAATAAAAACATAAAAAATTAGAAAGAGAGAACATGAGTGGAACGAGGCCGGCAGAGGTGGAAGAATAGGAGAGAGAGAGAGAGAGAGAGAGAGACTACATTAGTAGGCGTCATGCGTATTTTGACCTTTTTTGATATTTGAATTTTAAAAAAAATAAACACATTAATAAATTATTTAGTTTTTGTTGTCAACCTTAAGAAAAAATATAAAAAATATAAAAAAATAAATTGTTAATATTAAATATATTAAAAAAGAAAGAAAAAAGATTGAAGTTATATTTGGCTAAAACCTTAAAAAAAAGAAAAAAAGAAAAGTTGTTAACATTAAATATATTAAAAAAGAAAGAAAAAATATTGAAGGTATATTTAGCTAAAACCTTAAAAAAAAGAAAAAAAAAAAGAAAAAAAGAAAAGTTGTTAACATTAAATATATTAAAAAAGAAAGAAAAAGATTGAAGGTATATTTTGCTTTTGTTGTGAACCTTAAAAAAAAAAAAAAGTTGTTAACATTAAATATAAAAAATAAAAATAAAATAAAAATGGGGATTAAAGTGGGTTGGGAAAATCCAAACCCATTAAGAAATGAGGAGAGTGGTACCCATGGGGAATGGAGAATGGATAATGGGGAAAATTTATTATAAGGGAATGGGGATGGGGAATTAATATCCACCCCATTAACACCCATTGCCATCCCTAGTTTTAGTAGTCAAAACTCAATATACGATGACTAAAATATTTTTAGTCGATAAAAATAAGTTTTTTGGCCACTAAAATTTTGGTCGCCAAAAGATAAAAAATAATTTTTTATTTTCCATTCAGCGACTACATTGTTTTAGTAGCCAAAACTCAATATACGGCGATTAAAATATTTGTAGTCGCTAAAAATAAGTTTTTTTGCGACCAAAATTTTGGTCGCCAATTCCACAACCAACTTATTTTTTATCTTCCGCGATCAACTTATTTTTTGGTCGTCAAAATGTGATCTTCCGCGACCAAATTTGTAGTTGGTCGCCAAAACCATACCATTTTTTACGACCAACTCATTTTTTGGTCGCCAAAATATGACCTTCTGCGACCAACTCATATTTGGTCGCCAAAAATAATGATCATTCGCGACCAATTAATATTTGGTCGCCAAAAAGTAACTTTTAGCTACTAACTTTTATATTGGTCGTGGAAAGTGGTCGCTAAAACTGCAAAGCAAATTAATAGTTATTTGAGATGGTACATATCTTTATATGGAAGATAGTTGAATCCAATGAGAGGTGAGATACAAAATAGGAGGATTAAAGACTGTCCCGATTTGGGGTTTTAAAAATCAAAATACCCTTGAATTATAGTTATCGAGTAGTGATATATAAATATATATATATATATATATATTTCTTTATTTTGTAGAAATATGTGCCTTATTATGATCCTTTTATTAAACATAACACCCATCATTTTTATCATAATATGCAAATATGTCACTACTACATAATTCTAAAAGTATAATCTATATAAAAATTCTTGTGACAGGATACAGATTTACTAATCCTCTATTAATTCAGAGACCATTCAAATGTGAGATAGAAATTAATCTAAGATACATTTTTTTAATTATTTAATTTTTAGCTTGTTATCAAGCCCAATAAACTAATAAATTTAGGAGACCAATCCCACCGTCTACTGGCAGAAGCTCAATTAAAGCCAAGTTTGTTCTTAAGAGGTTTTGAATTTGAAATTTTAATTGAAGAAATGTAATTCTAAAAAATTAATAATCTCCAGAATAATATAATAAAATATCAATGAATATTATCCCATGAAATCTAATGCAAGCAAACATATCCATGAAGTATAAAGTACAAATTGCATTAAAAGAAAAAAAATAATATATTGATGCATATATGTTTATGCATTTCGTAGATAAGTGGGCAATAGAAAACTAAAACGTATACAAACTCAGAAAATGATTTTTTCCTAAACAATTATATCTTTTTTTTGCACTAAGTTACCTTCGAAGGCTAGAAATGGCTGGTGTCACTTCGGCTTGAGAAGGAGTTCGGAGAATACAGGCAGGAAGTTGGTTGAGTGCCACTGCCATGGCTAGTTTAACCCTAAAGAAAATGTTGATGAAATTCACTATGAAATAACAAGAACATAACATATATATATACACACACACAGTCTACAGAGATGACAATTGGATGAATGGAAGGAGCTTGTAGAATATAGGAAGTAACTTGGAACTGGTTTACCATTCGGATTGGTCAAAAAAGGAGGCTTTCTTCCGGTTCATTAACTGAATTGAAGGGTCCAATTAAAGGGACTGTGCCGAGTCCAATTGTTTATCTTGTATTGAACAAATCATCCATATTAAGGCTTCATTTGGGAATAATTTTTTTAACCTAATTTTTAGATTTTTAGTTATTTTAAATTTGATTAAAAATATTCCATTTAGGATGAACTTTTGATCTTTTCTTTTCTTTTCTTTTTTTTGTAATTTTGTGAGAAAAAAATGAAATTATTATTGTTTATTATTAATTTTTTAGCTTATTCTGTCTTTTATTGGGCTAAATTTTAGTCCCAACCATGTTGTCAAACAGAGGTAAAATTCAGATTGGTACAATATTGATACTTATCTTATTAATTTTTTAGCTAATTATGTCTTTTATTGGGCTAAATTTTAGTCCCAACCATGCTGTCAAACAGAGGTGAAATTCAGATTGGTACAATATTGATACTTATCTTATTGACGTTTTATCTTATTAATTTTTTAGCTTATTCTGTCTTTTATTGGGCTAAATTTTAGTCCCAACCATGCTGTCAAACAGAGGTAAAATTCAGATTGGTACAATATTGATACTTATCTTATTAATTTTTTAGCTAATTATGTCTTTTATTGGGCTAAATTTTAGTCCCAACCATGCTGTCAAACAGAGGTGAAATTCAGATTGGTACAATATTGATACTTACCTGATTAGAGTATATTTATTTTTAAAATATATATAACAAATCTATACTATATATTAAGGAAAATGGGATTTCCAATGAGTAGAGCCTTGTGCAACTTAAAACCCTCATACTATTTTTCTAGAATTTTTATTTTTTCAAGAATTAAAAAATTTTCTATTGGCTAACTTTTATTGAATTATGAAAAAAAAAAATTATTATGCCTTGATTTACACATTTCAAAAGAAAAGTTAAGTAATCTATTCATAAATATAAATTTAGTATTTTGAAAAAGAAAACTAATTAATCTGTTTTAAAATTTTGAAAAAAAAAATCTTATTATGCCTTTGATTTACACATTTCAAAAAATATTTAATTAATCCATTTATAAATTTAAATTTAGAAATTTGAAAAGAAAAGTTAGCAATCAGTTTTAAAATTGGAAAAATTATGCGAATAGTCCCTATAGTTTATACAATGTGTCAATTTGGTCCATGTAGTTTCAATTTGCTCAATTTTGCCTCTTAATTTAACAGATTGTGTTATTTTAGTCCAATAAATAACGGTTGTTAAGTTAATTTAACGGAAAGTCAAACAATGTGTCAATTTGGTTCCTGTCAAAATCAAGAAAATTATAACAATATGGACCAAATTGACACATCGTGTAAAGTACATGGACCAAATTGACACATTGTTTGACCGTCCGTTAAATTAACTTAACAACCGTTATTTATTGGACTAAAATGACACAATCCGTTAAATTAAGGGACAAAATCGAGCAAATTAAAACTACAGAGACCAAATTGACACATAGTGTAAACTACAGAGACTATTTGCATAATTTACCCTTTAAATTTTTTTTAAAAAATCTTCTAATTTTTATGGTTTTTTTATTGATGAATTCCATTTAAATGTATTCTAATCCAATAAATCTACTAAGGAAAATTATTACCTAATTAGTCTCATGTATTTATACTTTTATTTAATGAGGTCATTTTTTCTTGATTTATATTGTTTGTTGGATTATTATACCCTTATGTCTATTATTGATATGTATTACATAGATAAATAATATACACATTTCATTTTTATTATTACCTCTGCTTGAAATTATTGTGAAAATCTCTACTAATTTATAAGAAAAAAATTCTTCCAAAAAAACTCAAAAAATCTATGTGGGATTCAATCAAATTTATTAGAGGGAGACTTGAAATTTTGATATCCTTCCAAAATTTTTGCTCTTCTTTCAATCAAATTATTTGAATTAAAATCATATAGAGGGAATATTGAATATTTGATTTCCTCTTCCAAAATTAAAATTAGTAATATTTTAAAATATATTATTATATTTTTTGGTACATAAAATATTAGGACAAATACTTAAGATAATTTAATTTTTTCCTTTTTTTTATTTTATAATTTTATTACTTATATTTTTATTTAAATATAATTTTAATATATTTGTTACTTTTATTTTAATTTTTTAGACTGTTGTTATTTCACTTTTACCGACTAAATATTAGTCGACGATTATAATTACAAAATTTAAAAATTGTGCATTATATCTGAGAGAAACTTCGGAGGGAAACTTTATTACTTCTTTATTTTCTCTCTCTCTCTGTGCCGAGTCCAATTGTTTATCTTGTATTGAACAAATCATCCATATTAAGGCTTCATTTGGGAATAATTTTTTTAACCTAATTTTTAGTTTTTTAGCTATTTTAATTTGATTAAAAATATTCCATTTAGGATGAACTTTTGACCTTTTTTTTTTGTTTTTTTTTTTTTTTTTTGTAATTTTGTGAGAAAAAAATGAAATTATTATTATTTAGATGTGACGTTTTATCTTATTAATTTTTTAGCTTATTCTGTCTTTTATTGGGCTAAATTTTAGTCCCAACCATGCTGTCAAACAGAGGTGAAATTCAGATTGGTACAATATTGATACTTACCTGATTAGAGTATATTTATTTTTAAAATATATATAACAAATCTATACTATATATTAAGGAAAATGGGATTTCCAATTAGTAGAGCCTTGTGCAACTTAAAACCCTCATACTATTTTTCTAGAATTTTTTTTTTTTAAAGAATTAAAAAATCTTCTATTGGCTAACTTTTATTGAATTATGAAAAAAAAAAATTATTATGCCTTGATTTACACATTTCAAAAGAAAAGTTAAGTAATCTATTCATAAATATAAATTTAGAATTTTGAAAAAGAAAACTAATTAATCAGTTTTAAAATTTTGAAAAAAAAAATCTTATTATGCCTTTGATTTACACATTTCAAAAAATATTTAATTAATCCATTTATAAATTTAAATTTAGAAATTTGAAAAGAAAAGTTAGCAATCAGTTTTAAAATTGGAAAAATTATGCGAATAGTCCCTATAGTATATACAATGTGTCAATTTGGTCCATGTAGTTTCAATTTGCTCAATTTTGCCTCTTAATTTAACAGATTGTGTTATTTTAGTCCAATAAATAACGGTTGTTAAGTTAATTTAACGGAAAGTCAAACAATGTGTCAATTTGGTCCCTGTATTTTCCATAATGTGTCAATTTGGTCCCTGTCAAAATTAAGAAAATTATAACAATATGGACCAAATTGACACATCATGTAAAGTACATGGACCAAATTGACACATTGTTTGACCTTCCGTTAAATTAACTTAACAACTGTTATTTATTGGACTAAAATGACACAATTCGTTAAATTAAGGGGCAAAATCGAGCAAATTGAAACTACAGGGACCAAATTGACACATCGTGTAAACTACAGAGACTATTTGCATAATTTACCCTTTAAAATTTTTTAAAAAATCTTCTAATTTTTATGGTTTTTTTATTGATAAATTCCATTTAAATGTATTCTAATCTAATAAGTCCACCAAGAAAAATTATTACCTAATTAGTCTCATGTATTTATACTTTTATTTAATGAGATTATTTTTTCCTGATTTATATTATTTGTTGAATTATTATACCCTTATGTCTATTATTGATATGTATTACATAGATAAATAATATACACATTTCATTTTTATTGTTACCTCTATTTTGATAGCTACCATTATCCATGTTTTTTATTTTATTTTATTGTAGTTGCTTTCTCTACCAGAAACATTTATGTGCAACACGTATACATTTCTCAGTCTCTGTCGAATAAGAATTTTCAAACCACGTCCATGCCGTGTGATAAACTTTGCGGTTGGCTCTTGGTGTTCATTCATTCAGACCAAGGTTTCGAAAACAGATTAGACCGGTCGGCTCGATCGGTTGAATTGTCAATCGGTTGAAGTTTCGGTCTGGATATACTTTCTAAACCGTTCGAAACCAAAAATCGGTTTATTTAGAGAGAACCGGAAAAACTGATGGTTGAACTGTATAACCGATCGACCCGGGACAGTTTGCCGGGTTAATGAAATTGAAATTTTTGATTTTTTTTTTTGGATATTTTCTAACTTTTTCTTATATTCTTTTCTTTCTCTCTTTCTTATTATATATATATTTAAGAAAATTTTAATTGGAAACTCTCTTTCAATGGTCTCCTCTAGTGAGGAATCTCATTAAGAGCTTGAAATTATTGTGAAAATCTCTACTAATTTATAAGAAAAAAATTCTTCTAAAAAAACTCAAAAAATTCATGTGGGATTCAATCAAATTTATTGGAGGGAGACTTGAAATTTTGATATCCTCGACGGTTGAACTGCTGATCCGTCCACCTGATCTCTTTTCTGGTTAGCTCACCGATTCGATTTTTAAAACATTGATTCAAACCATATATTCATTCAACTAATGGTTGATGCTCTCTCTCCTGTTGGTATTTTGGTATGAGTTTTGTTTTGAAAGTTTTTTAAAAGTTAATTGTATTTTGTTATTTTTTTTTACGATATTTGTTGGTTGAACAATCATTTTTGTTACCATTGAACAATCGACACAGTCAAAAATGTTCGTTGGTTGAACAATCATTTCAGAAAAATGTTCACATTGGTATGAGTTCATAATGTGAACATTCACAATGCAATAAGAAATATAAAATAAAATTGAAAAAGTCAAAATCGATTGTTTCGATTGTTCAATGGTAACAAAAATGATTGTTCAACCAACAAATATAGTAAAAAAAAAATAACAAAATACAATTAACTTTAAAAAAATTTCAAAACAAAACTCATACCAAAATACCAGAAAGAGAGAGCATCAACCATTAGTTGAATGAATATATGGT